TGAAGAAAGCTGAGCACTGAAGAATTGATGCTTTTGAACTGTGGTGTTGGAGAAGACTCTTGAGAGTCCCTTGGACTGCAAGGAGATCCAACCAGTCCATCCTAAAGGAAATCAGTCCTGAATATTCACTGGAAGAACTGATGCTGAAGCGGAAGCTCCAATACTTTGGCCACCTGATGGGAAGAACTGACTCACTGGAAAAGAACCTGATGCTGGGAAAGGTTGAAGGCAGGAGGAGAAGGGGACAACAGAGGATGAGATGGGTGGATGGCATCACTGACTCAATGGTGTTGACAATCAACCCCAGCCATCCACCCTGAGCAAGCTCTGGGACATGTTGATGGACAGGGTAGCCTGGCGAGCTTCAGTCCATGGGGTCACAAAGAGTCAGACACGACTGAGTAACTGAACTAAACTAAAAAGAAAAAAAAATGTAAAAATCAATGTTCTCTACAATCGAGTTTTTTTTTAAACTTAAAGGAGTTATTTAGAATTTAATACTTATAGTTCTGAAAAACAAATTTAACTGACTTGAAATTCCTTTAATGTTTTTCATTCCTTAAATTCAAAGAAAATAGGAAGTATTAATTTTTACTTTTTAAATAGTTAATAAAGCAAATACAAAGTTCATAATGATTAACCTGAATACAGACTGTCTATGATACAGGGGCACTATGTTAAGCTCCGGGAGTTGATGATGGACAGGAAAACCTGATGTGCTGCAGTCCATGGGGTCACAAAGAGTCAGATACTGCCGAGCAACTGAACTGAACTGATGTTACAGTGGACTCTGTGGGATGGTTACATCATTTTACAGACTGTAATGTCCTTTGGGACAGTTATAACCACTGTCACCTTAGCACTAGGGATTGAGCTAAATGCTTTATATACAATTTTTCACTGGAACCTTATCACAATCTGATAAAATATTTTCTCCAGTATTAAAGAAGAAACAGGACTTGAAAGAGGTTAATTTGAGAAAAATCAGACATTAATTGGGAACTGCGATTCAAACAAATTGCATGACTCCACACTCTAAACAACCATGAAAACTGCCTTCCCATCTGTGGGCTGGGACGACACCTTCCTCATCAACAGTCAGGCCCATCGCCGGGGCCAAGCACCTGTGGCAGATCCCATGTAAGAGGGGTGGTGCTAGACCTCCAGCACACACTCCATCTCTGCATTCAAGTGTAGAATCTTCAATGCTTCAGGTAGACACAAGTGCTTCACAGATTGGACACCTGAACTAAAAAGAGCATAAGTTTTTCATGGTCTTATGGCTAAAAGCTTCCAAAATCTAGTTGTGGTTTGCCCAGCAACATTTGTCCACAAAAGTAACCATGATCCCCAAAGGGACTTTTAAATAAACACAAGTGTGGATGAGGCACACCTGGCAAAACACTGCTGCTGGTTCACTTCAGGGGGGTGAGTGTCTTTGCGTGTGTGGGCGGTATCCGTGGGTGAAATGTGAATGCACAAGTGAGTAAATGTGAAGAGGTTAAGCAGGACATCATAATTATACTACTGTTTCAACTTTCTGCATGTCTGATATGTTTTTTAGTGGGTCAGAAAACAAACAAACCAAAGCAAGTATTTTAGGACAGCTATGGGTAACCTTCACTATCATGCCATTTTTGCTATCCCTTCCTAAAATGTTATTCTACTAACTAGGCCAATAGGTAGTATCTCTTAGCTTGTGTCAGGAGACCCTGCAAATGCCAGGGGCTGTGGAGAAATCAGCAGAGGCTCACACTGTCCTACCAGGTGAAAGATCGGAGATTACCCCTCAGAAATAAATGTCACATCCTGATGTCCTAACGTCTCACTAGATTGGAAAAAACCCACTGCCAGAGGCATTACTTGCCTTAAAAGCTAACTAGTGTGTGTGTTCATGACACTGCCCCACTTTACACAGGTGCTACCACCACGCCCGCCACCCAGATGAAGACAGAAGAGTCAGTGCCCAACTTGCCACAAGGTACAGAGCTATCAGACAGAGGGACCAGCCCCGGGCTCCGTCCCGACCACTGTGACACGGCCTCTCTGCTGGGGCAACACATGAGACACTTCAAACTACACACAGTAAACAACGGCAGGTTCCAAAAGAGACGGAGAGGAAGAGGAAACAGACCCTGCGAGTCCTCGCTGCCACAGGAGGCATGGGGAAAAGCCAGGTTCCTGGGAAAACGGCAGGATCTGGAAAGACTGCCCTCTGGAGGCCGCACGGGGCAGTCACAGGGACACCCAGGCCCAGGCTTGGCTGCAGGCTGGGAGCCCGGCCACAAGAATACATACGTAGAGTTCTTCGAACTGTTTCTGAATCTCGCTGTCCATCTCAATGGCATTAAATCCTGGATGCCGGATAGGAAACGCTTCAACAAACAGCAGTGCAGCATTGGACCGGACTTCCGAGTTTCTGGCCTGGAATGGGGAGAGGAGTTTCAGAATCCAAAGAGCTGACGGTCAGAGGCGTCAGCACAGAATCCCTCAAGCAATGCTTCTAGTGTCTCAACACAGACAGATTCCTATTCACATACTAAAGATAACTGTGACATTTAAACTAATCGAACTTGTGAGAGCTTCCTTAAATGAAACCAAACTTCCAGCTCCATGTCGACAGAGGCGTTTCCCTACCTAAGTCCACTGTGTCATGAAGAACCAGTGGCCGTCTTGTCCTGCCCCCAGAGCAGAGTCACCTGCGTTGAAAGGACCCGCATGCTCGTCCGACCCCCCACATGCGGTCCCCAGGCGCTGCAGGAGGCCCTCAGGGCCAGGAGGGCTCCGCCCAGCTCTGCACACACCACCCCTGCTGGCTTCCTGAGCTCGACGACCCTCCTCCCAGCTGTGCATCCAGCACTAAATACATTCAGATTCCCAGTTTAGGAAATGCTTTCAATAAAAGCATCAAGTATTCATTCAGAATCTCACACAGGCCCAGCCTCGAGTCTTATTTTACTGCAATTCTGAATCAGAAGATGCTAAGCCCCACGGCATACTCAGCATCCTGAACACGAACAGTTAGAGGCACACCTTTAATCCTCTCCAAAGGATGGGCTTGTACAGCTTGTAAAGCATCTCTTCCACTCCCTGCCGAACTTCCTTTTGATGGTGAAAGTAACTCAGCACCTAAGAGCCAAGAAAAGAAGAAAAGAACAGTAACATTGGTGTTTTCAAAAAAGCACTTACGATCCTACTTTGAGGAAACAACAGGGAGCACAGGCTGCCCCTCCATTCACAAGTCTTGGATGCACAGTTCTTCCTAACGGGAACCACAACAAAAAGACACGCTGACAGCACAGAACACGGCAACCTCACAAAGGCACCTGTGGTGGAGAGACAGACCCACGGCCTTGGGCCGTACAGAAGTTCAGGTTCCAACTTCCACTCTTCTACCAGTAGTCAGAAAACCTCATAGAAGACACACCTCTGATCTTCAGGGTCAAATGGCAAAGGAGCCAGCCTGATTGCTCCTATAGTCCATTCTGGCTCTAAAGTGCACTGGCTACAACTGTCTTGTTCTGAGAACCTCTTTTGGGCATCCAGAACGGCACGTAGAGTCAGCCCTTCACATCCATGGGTTCTGCATCTGCAGATTCCACCAAGCGTGGATAGAAAGTATCTGAGGGAAAAAAATTCCTGAAGTTTCAAAGCAAAGCTTGAAGTTGTCACTTGCTGGCAACTGTGTATGTAATAACCACATCAGATTTACAGCCTCTTACAAGCACTTACACTGCACTGGGTATAAGCGATTCAGAGATGATGGAAAGTGTTCAGAGAGGCTCTGGAGCATCCATGGGTTTGCTGCCCGATTGCCTGCAGACCGCGAGGGGCGACTGCATCTCAAAGGGGTGTCACTGCCCAGTGATCCTTCCCAGGAGAAACCTGGATGTCAGGTCCATCCCCCAGAGTCATGGGTAATCAGAAAACACACTGCTTTAACCAGCAAGGACCTTCCTGCAGCTCTTCAGATTCTTGTCCGCAACAACAATCAGTGTTGCCTTTTGTCCTTAATTCACAACTCTGAGCCAAAGCTATGTTAGTGAAAAACAGAAATTTTTTATAAATTAGGCTATAAAACAACAGACTTTAAGTGAATGTCAACCAACTTTACCCTAAAAGAACTACAAATCACCAACTCGATGGACATGAGTTTGAGCAAACTCCGGGAGGTAATAAAGGGCAGGGAAGCCTGCAGAACTGGAGTTCATGGAGCTGCAGAGTCAGACACGACTTAGTGACTCAACAACAACAACAATAGAACTACAATCTAGGGATTTTCTTTTTCTGGCTGTTAATTTTTCATTTAGGAGATTTCAATCTGTCATTTGTTTTCTGTGTACAATGTTAATTTGGTATTAATGGTATACTTGCTTCATAGAAAGTTTTTAAACAACTGTATTGAGATACAATTCATAGACCATAAGTCACTCTTACAAAGTGTGTAATTCAGTGGGTTTTAGTATACACAGAGTTGTGCAACCATTACTACTATCTAATTTCAGAAGATCTTCACCAACAATATGTGGATTTCTTACTGTCGAGTGACTTCTAAGGTATTTTCTGAAGCTTCTTTCAACATATCAATAAAGTGACTTATCAGGTAAATTTTCTATTTATCAAAAACAGGATTCAAGGACAAAGCTATAACACGTTATGAGCAGGAGGAACAATGACTCGGAGCCCAAGAGCACACCTCACCTGAGCAGTGAGACCTAACGTCCACCGTTCAGCTCTTGCTGTGCATTCCCACAGAGCTAAAAAACAGCGATACCCATACTTATCTTCACTATTTGCTAACACAACAGAAAACCAGGCATGAGAAACTCTTCAGTTATTTGGTAGCAACAGTGAAGCAACCACATCACAAATATGTACAGCTTAACACGACACCATTCCTTGCAATCAAGCAGAATCTGAACATTAAATCATACATAGGAAACAAATGACCCAAACTATCTACAATTTACAAAGTGCCAGGAACTGTGTGTGCTGGGTGGGGTGGAGGGTGGAGAAAGCACATGGATGTATTTTCATCTCTGGTTCTTTATCTTTGGATAATGCAAACTAAATCACCAATAGTAAGAAACATCTTTTATCCATTCAAACTTAATATAATTAGAATATTCACACCTACAAATAATGACTCCACTATACAAACAGTAGCAGGCACCTCATCTTTATTCCTCTAGCTTCCTGACATGCAGCTGCCCAAACCAGCAGAGAGCACAGAGGCCTCACCCGGGGTTAGACACAGCCCCACACAGCCGACCAGAGCTTCCAAGTCCTCCTGCAGGAACTCTGCTTATCAGACTCCTGTCAGGACAACAACCACACCAACAGCAGAGACTTATTCAGTCAGATCATCTACAACATGAGGATAAAACTCATACCCAAATTCTGAGACTACCTTTTAAAAACAAAATTGTATCAAGAGAAACTATCAAAACATTTATTCAATATGGTTTGCAGACTACAAAGTGGAAATGTAATATATGAAAGTAAACAAAAATAATCTCAAATAGTCTCTTCTTTGAAAACAGCAGTAGTGGCAGTAAGAAAGTGATGGTTCTAGACATTTTTATGTCCAAGAATGTAGTTAAAGGTTGTCTGAATAAAGTTCCGATGTCTTAACAACAGATGTTTGCTTTCCTAATCAAAACTTTGGTGTCAAGGTAGATCTCCCAGAATTCCAAATGTCAAGATTCTGAAAAATTCCTTTAACTGATGCCTGTGAAAGCTTAACAAAATTTCACAGAAACAACTCTCTAAAAACAAAAATATGAGACACAATTTTCAAAAGTGCTGAAAGAGTGTGGCTCACCTTGCGCACTCTAGGGTGCACCGGAGACCTCCGAGGAAGGTGGACGCCATGGTACATGAAGTCCTGGATGCAGTCGTTCTCGATGGCCTGAAACAGCCGGGCGGGAGAGCATGGGTGAGTGCATCCCAGCAGAAGAGCAGGACAGGTGGAGAAGAAGTCACAGCGCAAGAGGACAGTCTGATCAGCTCATCTTCCCATTCATGAGGGGAAAGGGTCCTGTCATCAGAGCTTTTCCATTTTGTTTACACCTCTTAGAATGCACATAACAGAGAGAACTTTTCTTTTATCTTATGTGGAGAAATATCACATTTGCGCCAAATTGCATGGCACTCGAGCCTGGATCAAGCCAGACAGGGCTCAGAGACAAAGGTGGGCCTGGGAGTACCCCTCCTGACTCATCTGATAATCTCAGAAAACTGAATCTCTTCCAAGAGCTTACCCCACCCCCCACCCAAGAACTCACACTGAACTACCTCTAGGATGGGGGCCAGGATTCCAAACTGACAGAAACAGATGTCTTGGAGGTACCCCAGTGAGGGGCTGTACAGGCAGTTCGCAGGACTCCACGGCAGTAGGGAAAGACATGAGGGAGACTCGTTACTAACATTCACCTCATCTCCATTAACTGAGAATGCTCCCTGAAGCTACCCCTCGGTCTCAGCGTGACTCCCGCGGGAACGACGCTGCCCAACCTGTGATCACACAGGAGGTTCACCCCACCACCAGCTAGGCGTCTGGGCCACAGAAGTTGACCCTTGAGAGCTAACCACCAGAACACGGGCATTCTGCAACTGACCAGGTTTGCCAACATGTCAACAGCAGAGATTTTTTCAAAGAGAAAGTGAAAGTGAAGTCGTTCAGTCGTATCCGACTCTTTGCAACCCCGTGGGCTGTAGCCCACGAGGCTCCTCCATCCACGGGAGTCTCCAGGCAAGAATATTGGAGTGGGTTGTCATTTCAGAGGAAGGCTTTAAATGACGTAACAAGCAAATGCCACTGGGAGACTTGTTGGATCCTGGCTTCAAAATGAAGATATTTTTTAAACAAAGCAGAGAAGTTTAAATATTAGTATTGGGCTTCCCTGGTGGCTCAGATGGTAAAGAATCTGCCCACAATGCAGGAGACCTGGCTTCGATCTCTGGGTCAGGAAGATCCCCTGGAAAAGGAAATTGCAACCCACTCCAGTAATCTTGCCTGGAGAATCCCATGGACAGAGGAGCCTGGAGGACTACTGGCCCATAGGGGTCACAAAGTAAGCATGATGATGGCACTGTATAACCAGACCTTTTAGAGATGATGCATCCTGAAGTACACAAGAGTGAGGTGTCACATCTGGAATTTGCTTTAAAAACTTGAAGGAACAGAGGGAAGGGAGTAAAACTGAGAAGCACAAATTTCTGATACTAATTTGGTCCAGAACTAGACAATTGCATTTTAAATCACAAACTCCTATGTTTTAAATCACTGCTAGAGAAAAGGGGAACAAATACTCCTTCCTACGAACAGTTTCAAGGAGTACAGAGCAATGCAAAAAATGCATAAGAACATCCTGGTTCTGCCACTTCCCCAAAAATTATACATTGAAAAACTATTGTAGAAGTTGTCTACAGGAGAACAGGAATGGTAAGTTTTTGTTTCCTAGAAGCAGACATCAGTGATAACTCACAGCATATTTAACTGAAGCTCAAGCTGGGCAAGAGAGCAGAGTGAACAGAAATAAACTACAAACATCAGGTGGTTAGCCTCCCCTCTGCCCTGACACCAATCCAGGGCCTGCTCCCCCAGGAGAAAAGACCCCTTTATGACTCAGAGTAAAAATTTTGCTCTCAGAAGGAAAAAAACACATCTAAGAACCTAGTATGAAAAAAAACATAAGGGATATCAAACACTTTCTTTTTTTTCCAAAAGAGCCTATGAATGTTTAATTGTGAATTACACAGCCAGAAGGTAGGTGCTAGTCATTAAAGGTTCCAAGCCTGATTCAAACAAATGTCTTTAAATTCTCAAATTATGTTGCTGAAGAGATGGCCTGAGTCTCCCAAGGAGCACTGGCCAACAGAAACACAACATCAGCCACAAATGCAATTTTAAACTTTCCAGTGGTCACACTAAAAACGAGGAAAAAAAGGCAAACTTACTTTAATAATATTTTGTTTAGCCCAATTACCCAATACACTATCATTTCAACATGCAATCAGTATTCTTTTTAAAATATCCATGAGACGTTTCGCATTCGTCTTTTTCCAGACTGTCTAGTTTCTTACATTTACAGCCTATCTCAGTTTGGACTGGCCACGTTCTAAAGGCCCGGCAGATATACGTGGTCGGACACTACAGGCCCAGAGCTGCCAAAATGGGCAAAAGCGTTGGTTCCACTCAAACCGCACATCGTGGTGAGTGAGGGACATCGTGAGGCGGTGCCTGGTGTGGACGTGACCTGAGTAGGTGTGGACGACACCACGCCTCTGTCATGGGGATGCTCACTGTGAGCTTTGGCTTGACAGGCAGGCACAAACAAGGGTTTCAAACAGCCTTATTGTGGCTACTTACTTAGAAACCAGAACACAATAAAAATGTGCTAACATTTCATAAAACAGAAAGGAAATACCTCCATTATTTTCCCTGAAGCCTTTTTCCAAGCTCTGAAATAAATTTCCGCAATGTGTACCATCAAAGATCTGAAAAAAAAAAAAAAAATTTAACACAAGTTTGAAGAGTTATATATTTCACATGTATCATTTCAGGTACTCTCCTCTGCCAGGGAAGAAGACACTGTTTTACAATAGTGCTTTGCAAAGTAGAGACAGGTTGTCTGCCTAGAGCAGCAAGCAGAAACTAGTCTGGAGAAGGACTGAAATGTCAAACAACTTCTTCCTTCTCAGTCACTGCTTCCCCAGAACTTTACTATTTTCTGCGAAACTATGACACATATGCCCAGAACCAAATTCTTAAGTAAAAAACTTTAGAGATAAATTTATTTCAAATACACACTATAAATATAAAAAGTTGAAATATAAATACACTTTAACTTGGAGTCATTCGAGACTAATTAGCTCAGGTACGGGGAATCCTAAAATACCAGGGATGACTTAGACTCATAATGACGAAAATCTGCTGATTCAACCCAAATATTGTGCAAATGAGGGAAGAGGAGGCAGCATTCCAGTGAACAATCAGAGATCCAGCATGGAGTCCCAACTCAGTTCTCACACAGCCGCCTGACGGGATAGAAGATTTGAAAATTCCAGAGCAGGTTAAGGACTTGACCTCGAATGCGGCAAACAGCTCCGAACGCTGCCAGGGCCCAGAGGCTGGGGAATCGGCAGAGAGCGCCTCCTCAAGGGCTCCGCCTTCAGGAGACTGCAGTGTGCACACGCACCCAAAGGATCAGACGTGCTAGCCACATGAACTTTACTATGGCTGAGGCTGAGATGGAACTGGTGAACAGTCCATGTAAAGAACTACCACAAAGTAAAGTCGTAATTTCAATGTCACTACTGAAAAAGAATGGTTTCCTGTAGCAAGGAAAATAAGTATTCAGTAATACAACAGTACATAATAAATAATAACTTAAGAGAGAATTTCTAAAGCTTCTAATCATCATCATTGTCATGTTAGTCACTCAGTCATGTGTGACTCTGTGACCCCATAGACTACAGCCCAGCAGGCTCCTCTGTCCATGGGACTCTCCAGGCAAGAATACTGGAGAGGGTAGTCATTCCCTTCTCCAGGGGATCTTCCCGACACAGGGATCGAACCCAGGTCTCCTGCACTGCAGGCAGATTCTTTACCATCTGAGCCACCAGGGAAGCCCCTAAAAGTTGACCTGATCAAAGTCAGGCCAAATAGAAACTTTCAAAACCAGACTAAGCACAAAATATTAATTGTTTTTAATACTCACTTTGGTAATCCCTGTAACTGGTTTTTAATGGTCCCATGAATCATTTTAATGAAATTTATATTCCAATTGAAGAGAGAACTAAGAAATCTTCTTCCCTATAAATAAAAAATAGGATGTAATGTTAAAATTGCAACCAAATAAAAAGTTCCCAGTAACTGAAAACAAACAGTTCTTTGAAAGTGTAGTAACTAGTACCGAAGTTCGCTACTCCCGACAAAGGAAGCGCCCACACTTCTAACTCGGAACCGCGGGCGGGCGCGGCAGGTCAAGGGGAGTCCTGTGTGGGGACAGTGCTGGGGCCTGGGAGGGGCCAAGCTGGGCAGCAGGACAGGCGGGGGGCCACACACTCTGAGGCAAATGGCAGGGCCATCATGCTTTGACAGGCAAGTTTTTTAAAAAGTGTTTACTGGAAATAAGTTGCCAGTAGAGTCCAGAAGAGGTTTATCATTTACCTAGAATGACTGGAAACTGACCCGACCAAATTAATAACTGATTAGGAAACTAGGTTCAGCTATCTTAAACTCAAAAGAGAACACAAATTCCAAAAAGAGGGAGCTTTAACACACATATATATTTATCTCTAAGTGCTCATTCGCTAAATCATGTCCAAGTCTTTGCAACTCCACAGACTACAGTCCGCCAGGCTGCTCTGTCCATGGGATTTCCCACAGAAAAATACTGGAATGGCTGCTATTTCCTCCTCCAGGAGATCTTTCCATCCCAGGGATAGAACCCACATCTCTTGCACTAGCAGGCAGATTCTTTTCCACTTGAGGCACCTGGGAAAGACCACTTACATCTATATTTGCATATATGTGTGTGCGTGTGTGTGTTAAACAAGTGCAATTTGCCCACTGCTATGTATATTTCCATGGACAGAGGAGCCCAGCGGGCTACAGTCAATGGGGTTGCAAGGAGTTGGACACAACTAAGCGACTAACACACACATGTGTAAGTCTATATAAAGGGTGTCTGAATCCACTCTATACTTTACTCTCCCAAACTTCACACCCACCCTGGACGCCCAGGGCAGAGGCCCAGGGACCCTCCAACAATGACAACGTCAGAGCAGCAACAGCAGTCAGCGTATCTCCTGTCAGGCGGGTGCCAAGGGCCCTGTGAAAGGCCCCGTGTGCCCCCGAGGGGACCCTGGGAGACGGCGGCCGCTGCTCCTGCGCTACAGAAGGAGCTAAGGCTGAACGGCATATGATCAAGGCGACCTGCCACCTGTTCAGTGGACACCAGGGTCTGAACACAGCCTTTCTGACCCCCAGAGCTGCAGGTTTCGGCCAGTGTGGGCAGCAATCAGGTCCAGCCCTTCGGTGTCACCAGTGAGAGGGTGCATGGGGAGCAGGCACGCTGGGGTCAAACCGTGCCATGCCCCACCGTGAGTGTGAGGCCTGAGCAAGTTCCTCAGGGGGCCCTCCTCCTCTGGGAAGTCCTTCCCCACACCTCCTTCAGGGACGGGTGACCGCTGCCCCCTTTTGCCTCAAATCATGTCTGCCAGGCCACAAGCAGTCAGAAACAGGGCTATATTCTATATCAAAAACAATGTGCTTTGCATTCCAACATGGAAATACAGTCAATCTAAAAAGACTACCAGTCAATCTTAAAGGAATAACCCTGAATATTCATTGGGAGGACTGATGCTGAAGATCCCATAATTTGGCCACCTAACGCGGACAGCCAACTCACTGGAAAAGGCCCTGATGCTGGGAAAGATTGAAGGCAGGAGGAGAAGGGGGTGACAGAGGATGAGATAAGACGGTTAGATGGTATCACTGACTCAATGGACATAAGTTTGAGCAAACTCTGGGAGACACTGAAGGACACGGAAGCCTGGCGTGCTGCAGTCCGTGGGGTCACAAGGGGTCAGACGTGACTGAGTGACAAAACAATGAACAAAAAAACCACAGAGGGGATTCCCTGGAGGCTCAGTGGTAACGAATCCGGCTGTCAATGTGGGAGACACAGCCTGATCCCTGGTCCAGGAAGACCCCATGCCATGGGGCAACCAAGCCCGTGCACCACAACCTCTGAGCCTGTGCCCCGGAGCTGCCCCGGAGCAGCAGCCGCCGAAGCGACAGTCCTGCGCGCCAACACTGGGGAGCAGCCCCACCCACCGCAACCAGAGAGAGTCCGAGCAGCAACAGGGCCAGGGGAACCAAAACAAATACATAATAATTATTTTCTACATCTAAAACTCTACCCAAAATTACAACAAATTATTGAGAGGCTCATGTTCTCAGCACTTCTTAAAAAAATAAAACAAGTACAGAAAACTCTAAAGATAACAGATGAGCATGTCCAAGAGAGCTAGGCAAGCCACTCTGTAATTTTAATTCTCCAATAGCCATATTAATAAAAGTAAAAAAGGTTAAATTAACTTTAATAATGTATTTAGGTAATCTAATATATCCAAAGTGTCATTTAAATATGTAATAAATACACAAAAATTATTAATGTGATATTTAACATTCTTTTTCCATATCAAGTTTCAAATGCCTATGTATTTTACATTTAAGAACACAGCTGGATTGGCCACATTTCATGTGCTCAGTAGCCAAGTGTGGCAGTAATGACTGCCGGCCAGTGGAGCACTGGGCCAGGAGCCTCGCTTTGGATTTACTGGATGGGTATGAAAAAACCAAGAATCCTGTGATGACAGCTCTGAGTTATATGCCAATTAACCTGGAATTAGGGCAGAGGGTCAGATGTGATCCATGGGGAAGTGCCTTCTCAACCTTATTTTTAGTCATTTTTAATTTAAAATGCAATCATGATTCCCCCAGGATTCACACAGCCACCTATTACCATCTCCTTTAATGATGAAATACACAATGACTTGTAAAATGTTTGCTTAACACTGCCATGCAGTAAATATGAATTGCAATAAATATAATAGCACTTGACAGTTAAGCTGATTCTTTTATTAAAACACTGAACATGATGCAAATAGCAAACTCAAGAATTTAGGAAAAACTTCCATCAAAAAGCAGCTCACAGGACTTTCCTGGTGCTCCAGTGGTTAAGAATCCGCCTACCAACACAGGGAACATGGGTTCGATCCCTGGTCCAGGAAAACCCCACATGCTGCACACCAACTTAGACCATGATCCACAATAAGAGAAGCTCTGAGAAGCCCACACATTGCAACAAAGAATAGCCCCTGCATGCAGCCACGAAGACTCAGAGCAGTCAGAAAATAAATTAGTTTTTTAAAAAGCAGTTCACAAACACACCAAGATGAAAAACCACTTGCCTCTTCTTTTTTGATGTAATTGACATTTATGAAGCACTCAAGCAGCATGTCTTTAATTTCTCTACTTTCTTCCAAATGATAATCAAAGCAATATAAAGCCTGATGGATACGCCACAGCCGACATATGTCTGCACCCTGGGGATGACAGGAAAAGAAAATCAACTAATTTTTTTTTAAAATAATGGGTAAGGTCACATTTCAAATTAACTATGAGACTATTTTATGTCATCAAAAAAGAAAAAAATGACAAAAGAAAACATTTTAAAATTTGCAAATGAAGCTCCAGAGAGCATTATCCTAAAACCTAGGCAAAAGCAAGCAGAGATGCTGACAACGAGGAGGTGAACCTGCGCTGAACGTGCAGAGCCTGAGCCACAGCAGGGTACGAGGCGACCACTACAGGACTGTGCCGCCAGGAAAGAGACTTTTAACGTTCTTAACTGGAAATGTAATCGGCCGTGTGGCTGGTGGCTACTGTGGTAAACGGCACAAGTGCAGACGTCTAAATAAAGTCTTGATTTTAAAGGTGAACAAGAATGGCAGGGAAAATGGATTTTAAAAAGGCAAACCAAGGCTTTGGATGAGTTCTGACACAAACAATTTTTCAATCACTCCTGTGGCCAGCAGGGAGTCAGAGTGCGAGCTGAGGATGCAGTCAAAAAGATTCTTTTATGCTGTGAAATTGACTGCTCCTTGGAGGCCACCGCGGGACAGTCTGTCCCACAGGAGGTAAGAACGGGATCAGCTGCAAGGTACCTCGAAAGCTGCTGGCAATCTGTACCGAGAGCTCCAAGTTCAAATCCACTGACCTACAAATTTCACTTGTAGGAATCTGCGACAAGTCAGCAAAGGTGTAGGGGGAGGGCAAAGAGAAACCCCCAAAGATCCCTCAATTCACAAGGGTCACCTTGGCAGTGGAATTACTGATGACTTTTGTTTTTTTTTTTTTCATTTTCCCTTTTCTTCATTTGCCCAGTTTTCTAAGATGAACATAAATATCTGCTGTTGTTTGATCAGAGGAGAAAGCTGTTCTTTTTCTGGATCTCTGAGTTGCATGCCAAAGACTGAAAGATGCATTATATCCTGCGCTCACCTTGCTTCCTGCTGGCCCGCCGAAGCTTCCACAGGCCTGGGCCGCCCTCCTGCCCACCAACTCGGGTCAGCAGGCTCTCCCTGACACCCCGTCCCCTTGGTTCTCCCTAGGGCAGTTCCCGTCGAGGGGACAGCCTTCCACAGGTCACACACCAAGGAAGACAGGGAGAGAGTCTGTGCACAATGCACACACGTGAGTTCTGCCCACCCTAACCGCCCACCTCTGAGAACCACCCTGTGAAAAACCCCGACTGGGAGCCACTGGGCCAGGCCTCTCGCAAGCAGACATAACTCCTAACTGGTATAAATGCGTGTACTTCTCAGCAAAGCACAGTGTGTACTTTAGAAAGGGAACGCACTGTTTTCGTCCTGAGACTCCTCCTCAGCAGCATGACGAAGGCAGTCTTGCCCATGTTCTCCTTGGCGAGCAGGCCTCTCTCCCACCACTTCACGCACAGGTCCTGGATGGAGCCCTGCAGCGCTCGCTCACCCTCTGGCAGCGCGTACAAAATTCCTGCAACAGAGCAGGCACTGCACAGTGAGTGCATGCAGTGAAACGGGGCTAGTCCAGACCCAACCTGGGAGAGCATGTGACTCACAAGGTGCGCCCAGCAGACATCAGTTTAACTCACCAAGATGTCCACACATTTATACCATACAAGCAATGTTAACTAAAACTGTCCCACCACTATTGTAAGAGCAGGCCCAATAGAACAGGGAATTTTAGAAGACCAACAGGTCCTATTGTCCAAACTCCGAACGACGAGAGGCTCCAAACCCGAGTGCAGGGACACCCGTGGCAACACTAAACAGCTGAGCCAGGGCAGGCCGAGTGACCAGCTACCCCACAACTACCCCTCAGCTTGTTGGCCTCAAGTTCTGGCTCATTGGTGAAAAATAGTAAAAGCAACTATTATAATGAATAGAAAAGCTGTAGTGCTATTAACAAAAGAGCTCAAGAACTAAATTAAAATACTGACAGTGTGCTCGTAACTGTAATCCAGACATCTGACAGCCATTACTCTAAAGTAAAATTCCTGAATTAATGGGGAATTTTATAAAGCATGTTTGGAGACTGAGAATGAACTGGTGGTAGCACCCACAAGCATCTGGCAGCTCCTTTCATACTGACTGGGTAATCTTAATAAGACAGTAATTCAACATAAGAATTCTGAATAAAAGAGCATACTAAACCAATACATAAGCCAAGTGGCTCTGATTAGGGAACTAATCAGATTCACACAGTGGAAGGTGAGGGGACCTGTGAGATTTTTCTTGAAAAAAAAATCACTCAAAGCTATCTTTGCATCTCTTATAGCTATAATTTCATTCAAATATTATATGATCAGATCTTCTCATAAATTCAGACTAGTGTTCCTACTAAATTAATAACTATCACTTCACAGTTTAGTTAAAATTAGAAGAGTACCGACTTAGGAATATTCGAGTAGGAGGAGTCAACAACTATTCCCCAGGTCACACTCATGATACAATTAAAGAGAAAAATGCAGTGTCACAGTACTGGGCTACCTTGAACTGTCGGGCAGTAAATCACCAGCTGAGGAACTTGCAATGACTGCGTCCCCTTTATCAGCTCTTATTGGTCCTGAAGGTTCAAATAAGACATTTCTAAAAAACCTCTAAATAGCAATCAGTTGTCCAGTAATGCACATTTTCACCATCTGAAACATTTATATGTGGCTCACATGAAATAATTACACAGGACAGCCCATAAGAGTGCTCCTTTGCTCGTTTTTTCCAGCTGAAGTACAAGAGCTCTGCTTCTCCACTGCTGGGGGCTTCCTTTTACTGAGTGTCACTCAGACACAGCACTTGTTCACATCCCCACGTTATTGCAAAGTCAACTTACCATTTAATATAACAGCACACTCCAATAAGGCTTCATAGTTCTCTCTTTCATTTATTACCGACACAGAAGCAAGAATCACAGATGTAACTGCATGGATTATTTCTATGTTTCCATGCTATAAATTAAAAAAAAAAAAAAAATCAAAGCACAAGTAAGTTAAAATCAACTTAAAATTTAATTTTAAATGTAAAACTTACTAAATTTATTAAAATAAAGCCACATTTGACACTTATTCTAAAAAGTTAATTAAAGCTGAACACAGGTCAGCAGTTTGAAAAGAGCAACCCTGAATACCACGTAAATAACGGTAGGACTGAAAAAGGTATAACTACATTAAATAGGCTTCTGGTACTCTAGTGTTTCTGACTTTAATTTTAACAATATAAAATTCAATTATACACAATAAACAATTACTTTTTTAATAAGAAAAAGGAAATTTATTTTTGAAGGACGAGGGTTACCATCTTTGAACCCTGCTCTACTTTCATACTGTCTTCACTGGAGGCTTTTGCTGTCTGCCACCCCTCCACTGGGCTCTCCAGCAACACGTCTACTAGCAAATTCTTGAGCCTTTGCCATAGTTCTTCTTTCTGCTTCCTTGATAATTCATCTATCAACTCATTTAGGTTGAACGGGTCACAAGTATCCTTCTGCAAAATAAACAGCAACTGTCACATTTCAAATACAAGAAAACAGTTCTATCTTCTTTATAATGGCATCAGAAGAAGTTTAAGTGCTAATAGCTAAGTTTCAAATTCAAGAGTTGGGCTGTAGTTTTTGAAATCCAGTCCTAAGAGGCAGAGGACAGGAATGATCAGACAGAAAGCAGCAGATCCTCTGCCCCAGTCAGTCCTGGTATACTCCTCTTCACCCCCTAGCAAAACTGCCCCCGACATCAGTACCCCCCGACATCCTCCATCTCCAGGCCTGAAATCTGGTCACAAGTGCATGCCAGAGCTCAAGTAACAGAAAGAGCCACAACAGTAATAATACAGCCATGCCAAGGACTGCAAGCTGAGCTTCTGGTCTCCGTCCAGTTTTGGGCCCTGACTTCGTCCCTGTATCCAACCTGGTACAACCTGAGCACCACAACAGCCACAGTAAGGGATTATAACTCTTTGAATAAAATAAAAACCCATGAGACCATACTGATAATAAATAGTAGCTAATAATTGGGCATCCCCAACGGCTCAGCAGTAAAGAATCCGCATACAGTGCAGGAGATGCAGGCGACATGGGTTCGATCCCAGGGTCAGGAAGATTCCCTGGAGGAGGGCATTACAACCCACTCCAGTATTCTTGCCTGGAGAATCCCATGGACAGAGGAGCCTGGCAGGGTACAGTTCACAGCATCACAAAAAGTCAGACACAACTGAAGCAACTGTGCATGCACACACAGCCAATAACTAATCAATAATTAACTAATGGCATTGGCATGCTATTAATAGCAGTAAATAAATACAGCAGCAATTTGGGACTGGAAAATTACAATTTTGTAGTGATGAGAGTAATAACTGATTCAGGCAAGAAACACCAACTATCAATATATTTTAAAGATATTGTGACATACACATATGGAAAAGCACACTAAGTGTGACTGCAGGTAAATAAACAAAGCCACGTGTCTCCACCACCCCTCCAGGGCTGCCTCCTCCCCTCCCCAGTTTCTTTAGCATTTATGGTAATTACTGCCTTGCTTTTCTTGATAACTTCACCACCATCTGCATCCCTAAACCATGCCCTGTAAATAGATCTATTTTCCACTTGGTAGAGAATTGGGTCACAAGGTGTCCGCTCTTTCATATCTTGCTTCTCTTGCCCAACATTATTTAGTGATGCTCATCCATACACTGCATGTCATGATAGTTCGTTTAGTTTCATTTCATTTCCATACAGTTTTGTTTTTACTTCTGTAGAGTTTTCCATTGCACAAACATAACAAAATACATTTATCCATTCTTCTGTTGATCACTATTTAGTTGTTTCTGGGTTTTGGCTATTTCACAAAAACACTGCCAAGAACATTGTTTCACATGGCTCTTATTTAAGGACTAAATAAAAAATGGATTGCCAACTGAAGAGTCTGTAAACATTCAACATTGTCAGTTGAATATATATTTATTACTCTAAATGGTGTAGCGGTTTCCACATCCCCAGCAGGGATGAAATTTTCAAATATTCCACATCTCCCCAACACATAGTATTTTCAGTCTGGTGGGAGACAGTGGTATTTCATCTTTTTGTTTTCTTCCAATGGGCAGAAGTTGGATGAGGAGAAAATTTACCTAGCCTCAATCTACTTCTCCCCAGCATGCGTGCATGGTTGGTCGCTTAGTGTTTGGGACCCCATAGACAGCAACCCACCAAGCTCCTCTGTCCATGGGATTTCCCAGGCAAGAACACTGGAGTGGGTTGTCATCTCCTCCTCCAGGGGAGCTTCCCGACCCAGGGATCGAGCCCACGTCTCCTGTCTCTCCTGCACTGGCAGGTGGGCTCTTTACCGCTGTGCCACCTGGGAAGCCCATTTCCCTACAGACCACTTGTTAATTATAAAAGTGGGAATACCAATGAACCAGCAATGACACAAATCAACACCACGTGCCTCACCAAGGAGGTCATGACATGCTTACACAAGTAGCCCCTCCATACGTACAAACTAGGGCAAGGGAAGGACAGGCTGCATAGCAGCTGCCTGCAGCTTCCAGACTGTCAGTCACGGCAGGTGGGGGTGGGGCAGGGGGGCGCCACAGAACTCTGGAGCAAAGAGACTCTCGAGGAGCATGCACACACAGCCAATAACTAATCAATAATTAACTAATGGCATTGGCATGCTATTAATAGCAGTAAATAAATACAGCAGCAATTTGGGACTGGAAAATTACAATTTTGTAGTGATGAGAGTAATAATTGATTCAGGCAAGAAACACCAACTATCAATATATTTTAAAGATATTGTGACATACACATATGGAAAAGCACACTAAGTGTGACTGCAGGTAAATAAACAAAGCCACGTGTCTCCACCACCCCTCCAGGGCTGCCTCCTCCCCTCCCCAGTTTCTTTAGCATTTATGGTAATTACTGCCTTGCTTTTCTTGATAACTTCACCACCATCTGCATCCCTAAACCATGCCCTGTAAATAGATCTATTTTCCACTTGGTAGAGAATTGGGTCACAAGGTGTCCGCTCTTTCATATCTTGCTTCTCTTGCCCAATATTATTTAGTGATGCTCATCCATACACTGCATGTCATGATAGTTCGTTTAGTTTCATTTCATTTCCATACAGTTTTGTTTTTACTTCTGTAGAGTTTTCCATTGCACAAACATAACAAAATACATTTATCCATTCTTCTGTTGATCACTATTTAGTTGTTTCTGGGTTTTGGCTATTTCACAAAAACACTGCCAAGAACATTGTTTCACATGGCTCTTATTTAAGGACTAAATAAAAAATGGATTGCCAACTGAAGAGTCTGTAAACATTCAACATTATCAGTTGAATATATATTTATTACTCTAAATGGTGTAGCGGTTTCCACATCCCCAGCAGGGATGAAATTTTCAAATATTCCACATCTCCCCAACACATAGTATTTTCAGTCTGGTGGGAGACAGTGGTATTTCATCTTTTTGTTTTCTTCCAATGGGCAGAAGTTGGATGAGGAGAAAAGAATTTACCTAGCCTCAATCTACTTCTCCCCAGCATGCGTGCATGGTTGGTCGCTTAGTGTTTGGGACCCCATAGACAGCAGCCCACCAAGCTCCTCTGTCCATGGGATTTCCCAGGCAAGAACACTGGAGTGGGTTGTCATCTCCTCCTCCAGGGGAGCTTCCCGACCCAGGGATCGAGCCCACGTCTCCTGTCTCTCCTGCACTGGCAGGTGGGCTCTTTACCGCTGTGCCACCTGGGAAGCCCATTTCCCTACAGACCACTTGTTAATTATAAAAGTGGGAATACCAATGAACCAGCAATGACACAAATCAACACCACGTGCCTCACCAAGGAGGTCATGACATGCTTACACAAGTAGCCCCTCCATACGTACAAACTAGGGCAAGGGAAGGACAGGCTGCATAGCAGCTGCCTGCAGCTTCCAGACTGTCAGTCACGGCAGGTGGGGGTGGGGCAGGGGGGCGCCACAGAACTCTGGAGCAAAGAGACTCTCGAGGAAGGACAGACAAGCAAGGCCACCTCTCCACCCCAGCCCACCAGCCTCCTCTCCGCGGGACCCATCTGAGTGGTCCAGGGGTCTTTGTCTTTCCCACTACTTTTGTCCAGAATTCTCTCCTGCAATCTCCATGCAATTCTTAGCTGTCACTACTTTGATTTTCACTGCATGATCAGAACAAGTGAGGTATGTGTCACGTGCCCTGAGGTCACAGTACTTTAGAGTTGGGGCCCTAAAGCTGGGGTCTTCCAAAGTCAGTCCTAGGCCTTTCTCCTATTATACTGTGTAGATGATCCCACGCATCCCAGCCGGAGCTGATGCCCCCAAGCCTGCCTCCAGCCCAGAGCTGCTCCTAGCTCCAGGCCTGCCTCTCCACCTCCTCCTGCACGCCTCTCACGCGTGCGTCCTGGAGCCTCTCAGCACGTCCCACATGAGCCATCTCCTCCCTCAAGCCTGCCCTCTTCCTACTTAGGACCTCGCTGAACAGACGTGGACTCAGGAACCCGGGCTCCTTCCCGGCCCACAGCCGGTCACTGGCAGCGCACCCGGGCTGACGCCCTCCCACGTCCATGCCCAGACTCGACCTGTGTCTCTCCCTCACTCTCCAGCATCCAGCTCCCTTCAATCTATTCTTCGTGTTCAAAGGAATATTCCCAAAACGCGAGTCCTCTTTCTGTCTTTCTCTCCCTCTTTCATCCTTTTGCACACAGGTCACTCTCTGCTTAGAAGTCCCTGTTCCTCTCAGGACAGCCTCAACCCCTCAGAGTGGGTGAGGCCTCATTCCAGGTGTCACCTCTTGCCTTCTTCCTCAGCTGGTGTTTTCACACCAGGCATCTCTAAGTTTAAGCACAAGGTGCTTCTCCAGTCTTCAGAATTAACCCTGTTGGTTAGAGCAGTCCTTCTCCATACCCCTGTCTGACTGCTTAACTCATTTCACCTTTTAGATCCTCGGCTCCACAGCCTTTTCATTGGGATGGGGAACATCCCATGTCTAAACTTGGGTCCCTCTCCACCTCTGCCCCAGTTTAGCCCTTCAGTTCAGTTCAGTTCAGTCGCTTAATCATGTCCAACTCTTTGCGACCCCATGAATCGCAGCACGCCAGGCCTCCCTGACCCTGCTGCATTTACACACCTGGATTCATCACAACACTGTAAATAATCTAAGGATAAAAAAGGATATCTTCCTCAAAATGCCATGCACAGAACAAGAAATCAATAAATATTTAAGTAAGTAATTATAAACATCTTGTGTTACGCCACTTAGCATCCTCACAACAACCCTCTTAAAGCAAACAGGAAACATTGTTTGTGAGTAGCTGCCCATAGGCAGATCTATTTGTGTATAGTTTTGCTTTACGTTTTTAAATACACCTTGGTCCGTACGGATTCACTGAAATGACTATATTTCACTTGTGGATATAATGATTTTAGCAAAACGTCTTATATTAACAGTCAAAATCACAATAAAGCTAACCATAAAACTTACATCAAGTTGAATGAATTGCAAAAATTTTCCAATCAGCTCCTTAGACACTGCTTGTATGAATGTCTCACGTTTTTCCATAGCAGATCAAACTGTTTTTCATATGGCATTTATTCTGCAACACTAGTAAAACACACAATCATAGTTAGTATCCAAAACTGCAAGAAAATCCATACACTACCTGTGATAGACAGTTTCTAACAATATTCTGATGTAAACAAGCTATAACATCTAAAAAATAACTTTGTTACCAAGGAGGAAAGGGATTGACATATACACACTACTGTATATAAAAAGGCAACTAGTAAGAGCCTAATTATAGCACTGGGGGCTCTACTCAACACTGCAATGACATACATGGGAAACAGACTAAGAGTGGATAAGTGTACAATTGATTCTGTGCAGCAGAAACTAACACAACATTGTAAATCAACTATACTTCGATAAAAAATAATTAAAAATAAATAAAAATAATATTAAAAATAAATAAAAATAACTTCTGCTTTTCGTCACTGAGAACAGTATCAATATAACATCATGTTTTCATTGATTGTTAATGAAGCTACCAACTAAGGAAAGAGAAATCCAACAGCTCTCGAAGGCTCACCTTCTCTCCCTTTCTAGGACCTTCACAAGATGCTCCTTCAGGTCTGAGGCAGCTCAGCGAAGATCAGACTGAGCCCGGCTGCTAACGCCTGAGGACTCTCCTTCCTCAAGCACCAGTCCTGCATCAAGAGAACCCCTGTCAGCCGCCTTGCAGTGCAGTGTGGCCGTGGGGCCCCTGGGGGCTTGTTAGTGTGCGCAGCAGGTGCAGCCCTCCCAACCTCGAGGGACGAGAGCTCAGGCGCTCTGTCTCCTCTAAAAATCCTATTTTCCATTTACACCGCCTAGTGCTTGCAGCACCTGATTGGAAAGACATCATGAAGCAACTGCAAAATGATGAAACATACATGTAGCAGGACACTTACCTTAAAAATAAATGAAAACCTCCTGCAGTCACAAGTAGAGCAACAGGGAAAATTACTGGTACCAACGGCAACAATTACCAGGACAGAGTCATCTTAAATGCAGAACCCCAAGATCTTAGCACTTAAATCAAACAACAAGAACAGGAAATAACTTCTCCACATAAGTAACACTAAAGTGTGGCCGCCTCAGCCCTGAACTCAGATGGCTGAGAGATGGGCCTGACTTCTGACCTGCCAAGCAGGCAGGAGAGCCGCCAGCAACAAGCTTGATGCATGATGATGACTAGTTTCAGTTCAAGAGTTTAAATGAACAATATTCCAAAAAAGGTTAAAATGGGGACCTTGCTTATTTGTGATTCCAGTAGCTTTTCTGGTTTGCTCTATTTCCAAATGTAATTTCCACAGTAATCCACTTCCAGTAGACGACCAGATTCACTGCCATAGCCCCCATTTGCTCTCTGGCACTGTCATTGTAGTTATTTAAGGGTAATTAATTTTCCAACTTCTCTCAGTCTCTCTCAAAGAGACCAACCACTACTATGTGCACAAGGCCTCGCCCCTCCAACCAGAGCTAACTTCTAGGAGAGATCACCTCGACATGAAACTACCGTCCCAATGGCAGGGTGCTCTGTGCACAGGAGGTCTGGCACTGAATTAGGATGAGCATTTAAGAAAGGCTCCTGTCACGTTGTCACCGCAGAAAACCCGTCACCTCGAGCCAACCATTCATCTCAGAACTAGGAGAGACACCTGAGGACAGTTTTCCCAGGGCACAAGGCTCAGAGAACTGATCTCTGAGATCAGTCTCTGGTCCAGGGCTCAGGGGCCCTGCCCGGGATCAGCCCCTGGTCCGGGGCTCAGGGGACCCTGCCCGGGATCAGCCCCCGGTGCGGGCTCAGGGGACCCTCCCCAGTGTCAGCCCCCGGTCCGGGCTCAGGGGCTTCTGCCCGGGGTCAGCCCAGCCCAGGTTGCGGGACCTCTGAACTCAGTCCCGGGGGAACAGGCGCAGAGTGTGGCGAGCTCCAAGCCCGGCGCCCGCCTTCCCGGCCACCTCAGAGCCCCGGCCGGGCCGCGGGCTCAGATCGCGGCCCACGCGGAGGCTGCGGTGCTAGGAAGCCGACCCGACCGAGCCCGCCGTCTCCCGGTCCCCCGCCCCCAGCCCTCCGCCCGCCGACCCCGCAGCTCTCCCCTCTTCCCCGGGACCCACCGTTTCCCGCGTTCTGACCAGATTCAAACCCGCCCGCCGACTCCCCCGACCCGCCCGCCGGCTCCCCCGACGCGCCCCGCCCGCCCGCGCGTCAGCACGCGCCGCTCTCGCGATAACTGGGCGTGGGCGGGGCCGCCGGAGGGCGCGCGCCCGCCCCGCCCCGCCCACATCAGGCCCCGCCCCCATGGCACCTCCTCCAAGGTCGCTCGCGCCTCTGCGCCCGCCACGCTTCTCCACAAGAGTTCGGATCGTGACGTTTTTTAGCTTGACATCAAAATTTGTCTTGGCTTAAGTGATTGAAACAGATACAACTTCTGACATAAAGACTGACTCAGAATAAAGCTGTGACATCACCCTTTATATGCATCCAGTGACGTCTGAACACTAGGAACTGAACTCCGGGTCTGGGTGAACTCTACGTTTCCCACGTAATTGTGTCCTTAATGCAGTATCTGTTTGTGCCATGCAATTTCTATGGACCATGTGTCCAGGAAAATATATTTATAAATAAATGTATACACATATACTTACTATCTTGTGATCAAAATCCTCTAGATTTACAAACATATTAATTGGAATACAAATATATCAAAGAATGAAAGTGAAAATGTTAGTGGTTCAGTCCTGTCCGACTCTCTGTGACCCCATGGACTGTAGCCCGACAGGCTCCTCTGTCAGTGGGATTCTTCAGGCAAGAATACTGCAGTGATGTTGGTGGGAATGCAAATTAGTACAGCCACTATGGAAAACAGTGTGGAGATTTCTTAAAAAGCTGGAAATAGAACTGCCATATGACCCAGCAATCCCACTTCTGGGCATACACACCAAGGAAACCAGATCTGAAA